ACACGCACACGCCCTGCACGCAACGCCCGCGGCCGCGGCAGTCCCCGGGGCAGGAGGGCCGGCCGCAGCTGGGGCCGCTGTAGCCGGGGAAGCACACGCAGCGCCCGCGGACACAGCGCCCCTGGTCGTTGCAGTCGTCCGGGCAGGACCCGGAAGCAGGTGGGGGGGAAGGGGACACCCCGGCGTCTGCGGGGTCCGAGCAGGTGGGCCCCCCCCAGCCTGGCTCGCAGGAGCAGGCGCAGCGGCTCAAGTCAAACACACCGTGGAGACTGCAGAGGCTACGGACGTCTGTCTGGCCTGGAGTAAGAGCGAGAGGAGGGCCTCAGTTTTTCTGGAGGAGAGGCTGGGCCCATATACTGCTCCGGAGTTGTCCCCTCCAGCAGGGCCAGTCTCATTTCATGAGGCCACCTTAGCCTCCAGCTGCTCCCTCGCAATATATGTGGTCTACCAGGGCGCGAGCATATGCTGGGAGGAGAGGGGAGCTGGCATCTGGCCAGTCAAATGGCTCCCCTCTCCAAGCTGTGCCCTGGGCTGCACTCGCCACCCCCAAGAGTGAGGAAGAGGTAAGTGCCTTTTTCTAATTCATACCCAGGTCCTTTATAGACTGGCAATGCCCACCCAACTTCTCCACCTGCCTCTTTTTCTGTGCCCCTCCTGTGGTAGACTGCTCACCTGTGCCAGCCTGGGCAGCAGCAGAACAACATCCCCCAGTGCACTGTTCCTTGAGCCCCTTCACCAGCTCCTCCAGGATCTCTAGCCGGACCCTCAGGGCCTGCACCTCTGAAGCAGGGACCGGGGGCTCAGTGCCTGGGGGACAGCCACAGCCGGCCGAAGGGGGCAGGTTAATGCGGTGGGTAAACACCACCTGCTTTTCCCCTCCTTCCACGGTGTGCTCGTAAAGCTGAGAAGAGGGTTTCCCTCCTCTTGGCTCTGCTGTTCGGCCCCCTGGCTGAGGAGGGGGCCGTGGGGCTGGGAGCGTCATGTTGGAGCGTGAAGAGAAAGGGCCTGCTCTGACTGTGCCCAGCAGCAGTAGGAGGGCCAGGCTGAAGGTGAGGGAACATTGGGCTGGCATCATTCAGGAGGCTGCAGGAAGAGAGGGCAAGTGTGAAGCAGTTTCACAAAGACAAGATGCCCCCCCACCCCCCAACACACACATTAACAACAGTCCCACCACCCACAACTAATCTACCCAACTCACATGTACAAAAATCCACATTTAACCCAACCCCAAGGAACGCCCTCCTTGGAGATTTGCTCTCTAACTCACTCTCTGATGTCATTTGGTTACCCTGCTCCCCACCTCTTTTCCCTATTCTACCCACACTGGTCCTTTGTTCCACAGACACCACAAGCTTGCGTTAGCCTAAGGGCCTTTGCACCGTATGTTCCCTGTCTGGGATGCTCTTCGCTCAGCTCTTAAAGGTGGGCTCCTGCTTGTTCAGATCTTAACTCATATGTCATTGACACCCAGAGGCCTTCCTTGCTGCCCAGTTGGAGCAGCCTTCATTACTGCCCCCATAGTATCCCACTTATGTCCTTCGTGGCATTCTCTGCTGCCCGAATCATCTGTTGTGAGGCACTGGTTCGTTGCTTTCTCCAACTACTAGAATGGGAGCTCCATGAGAAGCGCACGGCTGTGCCTGTGGCTGGCACACGGGCTGTCCGACACATTAATGTTGAATGCATTAGTGGATGAGCATCTGAGGCCAATCCTTTCACAAACACCTGGGTCCCAGCTCCTCCTATCTTCTCAGGAAACTTCAGGTGTAGATTGTCCTCTCTTTTATTGAACCTCTCACTCTCAGCTAGTTCCTTCCATCGACTTTTATATGAGCTCAAATATCTCCCATTTTTAAAAAAAGCCCTTTTCCTCAGGACTTACATTATCAAGCATCAAAACCTCTTATACTGGTGCAAGGATAGACAGAACAGAACAGGGTCCAGAGACAGACCCACAACATTTGTGGTCACCTGATTAATGACAAAGGTGTCATTAAGAGGGGATAGATGGTCTTTTTGATAAATTGTGCTTGGCCAACAAAAATACATATGGAAAAAACACCTGTCTCTAACTTACGTCCACATACAAAAATTAATTTGAAATGAATCTAATGGACCTAGTTGTGAAAGGTAAAGCAACAACTTTCAGAACATTATCTTACGGAAGAAAATACAGGAGAATATCTTTATGACCTTGGAGTAAGCAAAGATTTCTTAAAACCTAACCACACAAAACTTAACCATAGAAAATGAGATTGCTACATTGGACCTCACTGAAATCGATAACTTCTGGAAATCAAAAGACACCATTAAGAGAATAAGAAGATGAGCTGCAGACTGGGAGGAAATACGATTGTCCCTTGACCGATTTTTTTCAGTTCACCCATGCATCTCAACCCCACATTGTTCAAGCTCAACTGGGGGTTAGAAATTCAAGTGTGCAGAGGGACAACTATGGTTATACTTGAATTTTCAACTAAGCAGGCTGTCTGCCTCCCTAACCCCCCATTGTTGAAGGCTCAAATGTATGTGATATGTCAGAAAAAAATAGAGGAGGGGTTAAAATCTAAAATAAAAAACTTCAAAACAAAGACAACAAATAAAAGGCAGGCAACTCAGTTTTTTTAAATTGTCAAAAAACTTAAACAGGTTCTCCAGATAAGAATACATTATATCCAAAGGGTCAAAAAACATGAAAAGGTGTATAACATCAAGAAATCAGGGAAATGGAAATTAAAGCACAATGAGGTGCCATCAAGTATCCACCAGAATGGCTACAATGGAAGGAGCTGCCATTGCTTGATATTGGCAAGTGTGTGAAGCAACCGGAACTGTCATCTATTGAAAAAAAGGAGCATAAATTAGAGCAACCACTTTAGAAAAACTGGCAGTATCTACTAAAGCACATAGACTATAACCTAGCAATTCTATTTCTTGGTAAATAGCCAATAGAAATGACTGCACATGTCCTCCAAAAGACATGTACAAGAATGTTCATGAGATTTATTCATATTAGCCAAAACTGGAAACAACTGTCCATTAGTAGTCGAATGGAGAAATAAATTGGGGCACTGTCATCCAATGGAATGTTATACAGCAATGAAAAATGCCCTTTTGTTACATGGGACAACATGAACAAATTTCACACATATGCTGCTGAACAAAAGAAACTACATACACACACACATTTTGAATTATGCTATTTATATGAGGTTCTAAGAGCAAATCATCGCTTTTATTTTATTTGAAATGTGGCAAGAATGATGGAGGCACTGAATTTTATTCAGTAGTTTTCAAAAGCTACCCAGGTAATTGTAATGTGCAGCCAGAGTTGAGACCTACTGCTATAGTCACCCACCCAGGTGCCTTCATCCAGACCCATGGCTTTAGTTTCCAACATACACTCCAATTTATAACACTAGCCTAGTCATCTCCTCTTAACTCCAAGCAATATATCTAACTGCCTACTTGGCATATCCTCTGGAGCACCCCAAGTTCAGGATGTCTAAAACAGAGCTCATGATCATCCCTCCTGTACCCCACCTCTCTCAGCGATCTCCACTATAGCTCACGGCCCCACCATTCATCGAACTTTACAAGCCAGAAACCTAACTGCCCACTCGACATCATTGTATTTCATCACACTTGCCTATATTTTCTCCTAAACATCTCTTTAGTTTGCTTATTTCTCTTGCTCTTACCAACATAATAGTCCAGCCTCCCATCTACCTTTTCTTTGACCACTGCAGTGGTCTCCTAGCTGGTCCCTCTGCTCCCACTCCTGCCCCTTACCATCTTGAAAAGGCAACTAGGATGCCCCTCTCCCCCTGAAGACTCTCCAGTGCCCCCCTTCCGAATTCTCTGCGCACACTGCCAGCCAGCCCTGCATCACCTGGCCCCTGCTGCCCTCTCCCACCTCATGTCCCACCACCTCGCCTCCCGCTCTCCGCTCCAGTCCCCTGGCCTGCCAGTCCCTCACCCTCTCCAGGCACAGTTCCCTCTGTGCCATTCTCCCCTTTTCTTTTGGCTTCCTCATGCCCCAGGGCTCAGGCCCCCATCCCGTCCCCAGGTCAGGACCCTGTCATGATTTCATAAGCACCATGCAACGCTCATTTGTAGCATCTATAACATTTTGTCATCACATACTTATTTGTGAGTGCAATTTATTACTCTCTCACCCACACTCAGTCTTGCCCGCTGGCCTGTGGAGCCCATGGGGGCAGCATGGCACAGGTGCTTATTTCCTGGGTGCTGTATCCTTGCATCTGTGCTCAATAAATATTTATTGATCATATGATTGAATGAAAAGTCCCATTTAAAGCCAGGACCAGCTTCAGAGCTGAAACCAAGAACAGGACCAAGGTCAGGGCTAGGACCACGGACAGTGTCTAGGCCTGGAAGTTGGTTAGATACAAGGGCGGGACAGGTGCGGAGCCTGGAAGGGCCAGATGGTACAAACACTTTGCAAAACTGGCAGAATCTACTACAGCTATATGCAAATGCCGTGACCTGGCAATTCCACTCCTAGGAATGTGCCCACCATGGCAGGGCTACTCATGATGGCCGAAAACTGGGAACACCCCATGTCTCACATCAGGAGACTGGATTAAATAAAGTGGCTTATTCAGAGAGTGAAATGAAATAATGCAACAAGGCTGCTACAGCTATACCCAATAACATGGATGGATCTCCCTCACGTGGGGCTGAGCAAGCACAGCCAGACACCAAAGAGAACATGCTGAAAAACTCTACTTGCGTGAAGTTTGAGGAGCGACAACGCTAAACTGTGGAGTTCCAAGACAGATGTGTGGCACTCTTTGGGGTGTGGTGGGGAAATTCTGGGGTGCTAAGACTATCCTGTTTCTTGATCTAGGTGCTGGTTACCTAGCTGTGTTTGTCTGTGGAAGTCCCTGAGGCAGGGGCTGAGGAGCACAGGGAAAGAAGGTTTAGAGGAGACAGTGGGGCGCTCAGGGTGAGCCAGGAGAGGGGCCCTGGTGGATACAGGAGTGTGCAGGGGGCGTCCCAGGTTCCGTTCAGGATAAAGGTTAGGGAGAGGTGTAGGCCGCGGCTCTTCCAGGCCAGAAAGGGTAGTGGGAAGGGGCAGGGGGAGGGGAAGTGCTGACTGGAGAGGGAGGAGGGGCAGTGACGGCACCCTCCCCACACACATACATTTCCTGGCTTTCTACTCTTACACTTCTCCGGGCCTGAGAAAAAAGAGTTTTCATATGACTGGCCATCACACACGGCCGCCAGCCCGCAAAAGACGAGAGGGTACTGGACAGCAGGGACACGTCCGCACACCGACAGTCACGAAAGCTAGGCAGAGCGGCCTGGCACACAGCAGCTGCCCTTCCTTCGGCCCTGCAACCGATTTCTCAGCTTGGGTGTAGCCTTGGGTATGAGGTGGGCTACCTACCCTCAAATCCTGTCATACTGTGTCTAAGGCCATGCAAATTACAGGGTGCATGCACACACAAATACAGGTACACATACACTTGTGTGCACTCACCCACAAATACAAATACAGCATGCTTGTACACACACACAACCTCCCCTTCATGTTCCTCCACACCGTCATTGGTGATGCCTAAGAGCGCTGATTTCTCCTTGGCTCAGAGAGCAGCTCTGTGAGTCAACGAACTTAGCCGGAGTGAGGCCCTTCTCCTGGGGAAATGAGGCTCCCAAGTGCCTCGCTCCCCTGGAGGCCTTTGGGACTTGTCCAGTACCCTCCCCACCACTGGATCACACATAGTTCCCCGAGTGGTGGGGAGGGGGGGTCACTGCAGCAGGAAGAAGCTGGAAAGTCATGAGGCTGGTCTGAGTGCAGAGAAGCCCCCACAGGCCATCCGCCCCACCCCCCCCAGCCCCTTCCCAATCTCCTCTCCTGCCCTGTCACCTCCACCCTTCAGTCCCACTTTTGGCTCCTGGAAGAAGCCCCTTTCTCTCAGCACTAGGAAAGCAAGGAACCTGTGTGTTTCTTGTGTTCCCCCCCTTCGTGCCCCCACCATAGCGTCTGGGGCGCCTTTATGGGGGGGGCATGGTTTCACCCTCTTGGCATCCTCCCCCGGGCTGGAGGGCTGGCAGGGGTGGGGCACCTCCCCAAGCTGTGACTCAGCGTGCGGGGATTCTACTCGAGTTGTGGCCAACTCTGACACTTCGCTCATCTGAGACTGTAGGTCCCAGGAGGCGGGGAGAGGGGCTGGCTTCCGTGAGTGGTGAGCGATGTTCCAGGAGAGATGTCCCCATGCCTCCCTCTGCCACTCATGCCACAGGAGCAGTGAAGGTAGAAGAAGGGTTAGAAGAAGGAGGGAGATGAGGGGGGTCCAGATATTGGGTTTGATCCAGGTGGCAAGGAGGTGCCAGGCAGGGGCACATTGGAGGACCAGATGCCCCACATTCTGGGTAGCTGATGAGCAGCTGGATGGAAACATTAAGAGACAGGATTTCTGAACTCCCAGGTGGGGGGCAGTGAGAGAGGAAGGCAGGTTTTGGTCCTGCACAGAGTGACCAGGACTCAAGGACAAGAAAGTTTGAGGAGTTGAGGTGCAGGATCCCCAGGAATTTGGAGGCAGGACTGGGAAAGAGGGAGGAGGCTGGGCATCCGGGAAGCAGGCAGGCAGCTGTCGTGTTTCCGAGTTGCTTCCAGTAGTTCCTTTCAGTTCATTTCCAGTTGTTTCTAAGCCATGAAATTCTTTCCAGGCAAGATAAGGGGCCCGCCC